TTCTTTATAGGTCCATATTTCAATAATTGTATTTTTACAAAATAGTTCTCTTAGACCAGAGAGTAACAAATACAAAAGAGACACTTTTTGTAAAATGATAATAGTTAAGAGGATTGTCCAGCTTGATTTTTAGAATAAATTTTGAAAAGTAATGAAATATTGGTAGAAAAAATTCTCAGCCATGCAGAGATTAATTTATTCTCTTCTATCTCCATGATAATTAATGTGCCTATCAGGAAAGTGAACACACATATTAATCTTCGAAGTTGTTTGTTAAATCTAAATCATTCTGGGTAGAGTATCTTGAAGCATTCTGGGGTATCATACACTAGCTGACCTTATATCAATGTATAATCACAGTCATGACTCAATGAGCACACAATGTCCACCAAAGTTCAGGAGAGAGTTTTATACTTTATAACTTTCCGAGTATTAGCTTGATTATGATTGTAATATTAATGTTTTATTGCTTCACAATGATCTAGACAAGTCATAGGTAAAGGACGTTGAAAGGAAGGATACTGCAGCAAGTAGGATTAAATGGAAAATTCAGAGAGTGGGGGATGTGCCCAGTTTGCTCTTTCCTCTTCTTGAAGAAGGGGAATTAGGTACCAGCTAAATTGAAAGATCTCTAGAATACCACATTACTCCCCAAGGTTGATAAAAGGAAACAGAGAAATGCAATGAAGACGTAAAAATGGAAAGGAGTCGTGAAAGATGGTGGTGATTTTTTTTCTAGTTTTTAAATATTTGATCAATATTGTTGGGAAGAGTAAAAATTTTTAAGATTGTGTTTCCTGTGAGGAAAGTTATCCATACACACAATTAATATGTTTTCAATAAGTACTTATGTGTAAAAGAAAAAAAAGATACAAAGAAAAACTTCAGTATTCTGGCCGAATATTTTTGTTAGACATTACACAGGTTATATCAATGATTTTTTTCATTAGTATTCATTAACCTGTTGTTTCCTTGCTTCCTGCACGTGGCCCAAAATCTAGGCATTAACTGTACTTACGTGTCTACTCCCCAGAGTATGTGGCTTGTAGGCCTAACCCATGCAAACTCATGTTGAGTGTCAATCTCCTTGCCTCCCCATAGCAGTGTTATCTCTTTTACTTCATATATTTTCTCTCTCTCTCTCTCTCTCTCTCTCTCTCTCTCTCTCTCTCTCTCTCTCTCTCTCTCTCTCTCTCTCTCTCTCTCTCTCTCTCTCCTCCTCCTCTCCCCTCCTCTCCCCTCCTCTCTCCCTCTCTCCCCCTCTCTCCCTCTCTCCCTCTCTCCCCCTCTCTCCCTCTCTCCCCCTCTCTCCCTCTCTCCCCCTCTCTCCCTCTCTCCCCCTTTCTCCCTCTCTCCCCCTCTCTCCCCCTCTCTCCCTCCCTCCCTCTCTCTCCTTCCTTCTCTCTCCCCCTCAGTCAGATTTTTCCATAATGTGATGGTCATATCATTCAGATCCAAGGGGTTAATATATGATTTAAAATGAAGACTTTCAGCTTTTGGGGGGGGGGAAATTTTATAATTGTAAGTGTTTTTGGTTCAAATGAGCAGATACTTAGCATGTAACATCTGATTATAGACGTTCACAACCACCCCCTTCTGCTACTGATAAAGAGAATTAGAGATCTCATCCATGTTGGCTATGAATGTAAGATGTTATTTTGCAACAGTTTGAATACTCCTTTCCCCACTTTCAGCCGGGGAGCCAGTTGCCAAGAGACGCCGCATCAGTCGAAGTTCCTCCCAGGACTCACAGGACTCCAACATATCAACTGGGGGAACAAATTCAGTAAATGGAGATGCCCATAATGGTGTGGGAACAACTTATTGTGGAGAACTGGTCATGTTTGACAGGCATGGGCGCTGTTTGCTCACGCCTGGTCACTATGAACTGATGCTAGAGCAGCAAGTGGGAGATAATCTACAGTTGTGCAAATCAAGCCCAAAAAAGAATGCAAGCTGGGAGAGTATAGACACACTTAAGTTTGATAATGTTTTTAAATGTATTCCAGTTTTAAAATTTTCACTGAACTGGAATAGTGAAAATTCAAACTCTTGCATAGAAAGACCAAGACTGAGACCATTAAAGCCATTGGATGTTGTTTTAGCCAACAGTGCGTCTACAAAGCCTAAGCCTCAAGGTTTGTATTACACTTCCTTTGACACTGGGACTTATCAAGCATCGCCTCATACAATTTAATTCCCCCATTCATACATTATGGCCATGTGTCAATACTGCGCATGACTTGCATGTTGTATCCAGTGTGTGCTTTTGTGTTGTCAGAATTATCAGTTTTTACTTAAATCATTTGCTTTGTAGCCAGCTTTAGAGTTGGCATGATGTAAATTTTTTCAAGTTAGTGAAGGGGAAATATCATGACTTTAATCAAACTTTAAGACTTAATTCTATTATTTTGTCACTGAAAATTGTGAATGTACAGTATATCACTTTTTTTTTCTTCTTCTTCTTTTTTTTTTTTTTAGAATACTGTACAAAATATAT